AACTGGTTCCTGTATTCTTTGACCCTGTAGTTCTTCCCTGATAGTCTGAATGCTGCAAGTTTCAGCTTTCCTTGGAGTGGATGTTGCCTGTCGGGTTGGTTTGCTAACCTTAGAAGGTATTTTGACTTTGGGAGCAGCCCTGGACAGTCAGTCAGTAAGTTCAGCAGCCTGCTGAACGAAAACTGTGTTGGCCATACTAGAGCTATAATCAACACTTCGGCCTCTTCCTGTTTTATTTTCTGCAGAACCCCTCCGATAAAACTGAAAGGGCAGAACATATATTCGTAAGATTGTCCCCAGAACGAGGAAAATGCATCCACAGCTACTGCCCCTGGGTCGGGGCACCATGATACATAACGGTCTCCGATATTGTTAATGTAAGATACTGCTGTAGTGTTGTCAATTAAAAGTCTTATATGCACATTCTGTTGTTGTGAGCACAATGATTGCAAAGTTAGAAAAGCAGCAAAAAGTTCCAAAGAGTATATGTGTTTTCACTTTCTTCTTTGGTCCACAGACCCCTGTCCTGTTCTAACCTCCTGTTTTGAAGTCTGGCTGCGTTTGCTGTATGAGCTGAGGGGAATTTCCTGCCTTCTCTATCCACCAAATTAGATCATCTGTACATAACTGATCAAGTTCAACTAATTCATCGAAGCTCCCTTTAGCAAATCTCTTATAAAAAAGCGGAGCGTGCTTCATTCCAAAGGTGCTTGCATTCAGTAGAGTAAGAGCCGACAATTCTTTGATAGAAATAACTTTGGCACTTTGACTACTTCCAGTAGCGCCAACACCTGAAAATTCCGCTGTTCTCAGGTTATTGCCAGTTTCTTTCCCAGCGGGAGCACTGTAATCCACTTTTGGAGATGCCAATGTATCTGCCAGTTCAAAAATACTGTGGCGTGTCGTCTTCACGACCTCATCGCCCAATTCTTTGTCTTCCCCGCGGCATTGCCATATTGGTAAATTCAGGCGAACAGACCACGACCCGCGGCCGTATAGGTCGGATAGCCTAGTAGCTAAACCTCGATAACACTGTCGATAAAACTCAGTGAACCGCCTCTGAAGAACTTCTTGCACACTATCCTCGTAGCATTTCCTTCGAAACACCAAACCACTGAAGATATTCACAATATTCAACTCAGTCGAAAACTTCTGATACTAACCGATTCCTATAAACATGCGTACTGATGTGATTCCTATGCGCATGCGCACCTCTCATGGTATTCCGAAAGTACGGAATAGGGAGGTGGAATCTTAATCCAAATGTTCCGATTTATCCATCTGTTTTAAACATATTTATATTAATGAAAATGAATTGGGATTGGTAAACAAGCTTTACAACTTATGTTTATCCATTTTATCATACAATTACACTGTCTTCCATCTAACTTGTGTTTGTAGTTGCAGCATCTTCATATAGAAATGTAGCAGGATTACATTTCTTCGTAACGAAACAAAATATTGTTGTATGTATTTTGTAAGTTATTCCAAATAGAAGACACCGCCATGGTGCATCGACTGCTGCATCTTCTGGGTTGTGATCATAGGGTCATGTTATATATAATAAACGATATACATATTTCTGTAGCTGAAGACATGTTAAACCATTGGAAAACCGATATGAACAGATATGATGGACAGTCAGTGAGGGAGTGAGTGTTATGTCACTTTTATCAATATTCCAGAAATATCACGGCGTTTGACTCCAGAAATGGGCTTCACACATTGTACCCATGTGGGGAATCGAAACCGGGTCATCGGCGTGACGAACGAATGCTTTGACCACTGGGCTACCCGACCGCCCCTATAACGTTCAGGGAGAAGGTTTAAGAGAAGAAAGCTAACATATCTGAAAAGATAATCATAAGTGTACTTTTATGTTTCAATACACTGAGATTATTTTCCGAGACATCATAAGTCATCTTTTCCATAAATGTAATTTCAAAAGCATTGTTATGCGTGAACACCTTTAATACGAATACACAATGTTTTTTAGAAAGTGGTCAAATGTAGCATATGTTATATTTGTGATTACACTTTCTTAGTAAAGTACATATTCTATTACTTTTGTTGGGTTGAGTCCCATCCGGCATTCGAACCCACACCCCCAGAGTCAGGTACCTAATCACCATCACACAAGCCGAGCTAGCTGAGCGGGTTAGACGGCTGACTTTGTGACTTTGTGTGCTGGCGATTAGGTGCCTGACTCTGAGGGTGTGGGTTCGAATCCCGGATGGGACTCAACCCAGCAAAAAGTACTAGAATCTGAACTTAACTAATAAAGTGTAATCCTAAATATAATATATGTAACACTATTAATAGCTGATCAGAATAAGGATTCTTTATCGTAATCTACATTGGTAAAGATACATGTTTGTGTTTGAAGAGGCCTGATTTGGAAGGAATACTTTGATGAGGCTCTCCAAGTAGAAACGTTGATGGCGTGATTTCAGTTTTATAATTACATTCCTCTCTATCTAAGATAGATGCTTTCACATATATTGATCTTCACTGTGTCCATTTTCATACAGGAAAGAATGCTTTGTATCAATTGTACTGATTTATATTGGAAGTTTATATTGTTGTTTTCCATTGTAGAGTTTTGATTAATTTAAGAAACGTGTGACGAGACAATTTGAATAAAAAACTCAACGTTGTTTTTCAGTGATTTATAATCAGGACTTAGTTTTTAGTGCATGATCAAGTTAGGTTTGCCGACAAGAATTGTCCCCAGTAACGAACCCGTTAAGGTCCGTGTTAGAATTGAATTGTCGTAAGAGGCGACTAACGAGATCGGGTGGTCAGGCTCGCTGGCTTGGTTGACACATGTCATCGTATCCCAATTGCGTAGATCGATGTTCATACTGTTGATCCCTGGAGTGTCTGGTCCAGACTCGATTATTTGCAGACCACCGACATATAACTAGGATATTGCTGAGTGCGGCGTAAAACTAAACTCACTCACTCACTCCCAGCAACGATGCTTGACGGCCATTATGTGAAAAGCTCCGTGAATTGGCTTCTTGACTGCATGCACCATACCACGATGTCACCGTACGTTCTTCATAATATCAACCACTGGTTTGGCAAGCCCAGGCTCGATTATGAACAAGACACCGGTTTATTGCCAGAACAATAACCCACGTAATCATAGATTAAGCGATATCAATTAAATGTCCTCGACGTTTTCTAGAAGTTATAAATCTACTCTGGTTTACCACTTCGTCAATAGGTTTGTGAGTATAGTGGGGAACCTGTTCTCGAACACCTCGTGATTCATGAAAACGTGCTTCTGGCAAAGTTCAAATCGTAACATCTACTTTTAGTAGAGATGTCTGGTCGCTTCTATTTACGTCACTTTAGTTTCTATCATATTACGTAAACGCAAGAGGACAATAGGCAGGGGCGTCAAATACTGGACCATTGACGTAATGAATACAAGGTTTAAATCAACTAGCCTACCCAACTGGATCGGCTCCTGGACCCAATGACGTCGCTCGGGGACCTCACCACCCCACGCCATTCTACAGAAACACAAGCCTCTTTGTGATCAGAAGATGATTGACATAAATAGCTAATAATAAACACACAAACAATCAACGCTTCATAATGTCCCGGATGAGGTTAGTCAGTCAACATTAATTACACCAGTGTCAACAGTACTGAGAAACGGGTCAGTCTTGGTGATCGAGTAAAGATCACTTGCTTCACCAAGTGTGAATGTTTGTACTAGGTAACATTGCTTCACCAAGTGTGAATGTTTGTACTAGGTAACATTCACTTCCGATCATAAGCTAATGAACAAACTTCCGTCCATACGTGGATTTAGGTCATAACCGTGTCAATTCCTCAGATTTAAGCGTTGTGTCAATTAACATCTATCAAAGTTGAAACATTTTATGTCTATATGTACTGTTGAAAAATAAGATTATATATAACTTCTGTTTTGTAAAGGTTCACCTCTAATAAACAACGTTACTATACGCTTGTAAATTGGCCTGCAAAAGAAAGTACACAGGTGAAACCAAACTTCCAGGTCTTAAAACAAACGTCGAAACGCTGCAAACTGAAGGTCGAACACGGCACTATGACATCTGTATAAAATACATCGAAATCCAATAACCATTTTTATTTGTGTCAATTTTAACCGCCGTCAAATATATGTGTATGCTTTTTTTATCTGTCAGTTCAGTTATCTCGTTAGCTATTCTGAAACTCTAATTCAGTTTTCGAAACTCACAACTTTGTGTATTGTTCCGTTAAATAGATGAAGTCGTAACTTCCAGGAAATAATACAACGCTTCAAAACATGTTTGCAGTTTGAAAAAGTAGATTAAAAGGTGACAAGGCAAGGGGGTATATTAAAACAGTCCATCCCTGTAATCAGTTTATAAATAATTCCACCATATTAAAAGTACCTATATATAACAACCCAATTAAAAGAGATGTATGGCGGAACTATTAATATGAAACGTATGTTACAAAGAAAGTATACATTTTATGAATGCTTCGATGTATAAGGAATTGATGAAATATTATTTCTCTTTTCCTACTCACTTAATTCTAGAAAAGGGATTAAACATGCATTTTACCGCCATTTTCCCCTATCTGCATATTTACGTGGTATCTTCCCGGGAAGACGACATTTGGTATTACTGTGAAAATCCTTTGATGTTTCGCCGAGGTAGACATATGTTGTTTCAATGGATTAGAGAGGTGGGTTATACTATAAACTGAACTGCATAACGAGATCGGTGTTTATTGACATGATATCAACTCACTGCTTATTCATTGGCATTGATTGATTTCAACTCACTACTAACTGATTGCCTTTGACACTGATTTTAGTTCACTGATTATGTGTTAATATTTACTCACTAATTATTATGGGTATATATCCTGCTTATCCGCAACCCAATACATCACCTTCGAAATGGCAAATGAGCAGTTAGAGTACAAGTTCATTCCAACTTCACGTAGAGGGAGGTATCTCTGTGCAGATGGATACAAGTTTAGAGTGAATCGCAAACGCAATGCTGCATCGTGGACGTCATGGATGTGCCTAGACAAGAACTGCACTTCAACTATTTCTACAGTTGACGACATCATCACCAAACGTCCTGGCCAACATAACCACGGACCGGTAAATAATGACATAAAGGTGAGTGTGAGAGGAATTTTCATTCATGTGTGATGTTTACATTAATAAATGCTTCTTAATTGTGGATGGTGTATAAATAATTGTGGTGTTATTGTTTATAATTTACATGTAATTAATTAATTCATATTATGAAAAATGTATATCTATATGTATTTAATACTGTGGACATTCAATGCTATCTTGTAAAAATATACTTTCCATGAAAATAATGACATTCAATGTATATCGAATAAAAATGTGATATGTATTTTAAGGGGTGTAAATAATGGTTCGTGGGAGTATTTCATTTATTTACCGGTTAACAATTTAGTATCATCCCTGTGCTTAAAATCACACAAAATCCTTGCATGCTCCACGGATTTGTTGTCGTCTTCCCGGGAATGAACCCTCTACGCATACAGGCAATGATTAGATGTTTTTACAGATGCTGCTGCTGATTGAGACGTCATGTCACTGTGATCATTTAATCCTTCCCCAGTCTGTCCCTTTGTCTGAGGGAGACGACAAGTGAACTCACTCATCACTATAAAATGCTAGGATAGTTCTCCTTGGTCTTTATAGCACCTCCTGTCTGTCCTGAAGCATCTTGAATATATTGAATACAGATCTACCAAAATGGATTCTACACAGGTACACACATGAATATGTTGTAAGCCATAGCTGAACTATTCAGCTCAACTATACAGCTCAACTACACAGCCCCATACGCAAATCCCGTGCTCATAAGTGTTAATGCAAAGAAAAGTGAATGGTTTACATTGAAATAAGTTAACATGTCATGAGATGTGATACAGAAACATGTTGCGTCAGAATTCAATAACACCTATTTGCATGTCGCGTACAACACACATTAAATGCGGAAAATCTTGAATTTCATTTTGTGCCTGTATGGTAGTTTTATTCAAGTATGTTATGTCTCAACCTGTAACACCTTTCACTGAAAATTGTTTCTTTTGAAAGTTTTGATGTTTAATATAATACATGTCTGTAGACTTCCTAGACTATCGTTACTCATGCAATTTCTTGTATTATACCTTTTACCTTTCCACTTCATATATCTATCTGCCCATAGTAAGTAGAGAGCACATTCCATCCTTGAAATTGATGCATTCGGTTTGCGTAAAATCTGAAATTGTGGTGCTGGTTGATTGTTTACAAGGCTGACTACTGACATTGTAACTGCTTCCTGTGAGTCAGGACATGCTCACGCCCAATGGAAACTATTTAGTCGGGTAATCGAGATTGGCATTGACCAAAGCATACCCGTACACCTGTGAATATAGCATCTGCCTTCGTTATTACGTTTCAGGTTGTGCCCGAGGCTGTTCCGACTCCATCTGGAAGTGTGTTCCAAGGTCCCACGAATACGTTGTCCTCAGAGGCACAGAGAGCGCCTCCCAGACGCCGTGTTCCATTCTCCATCGAGGACATCATGAAGTCAGATGACGTCCAGACCTCAGAGCCCAGCATCACAGACAGGACTTCATTAACCAAACCAGAAGCAGCATGTGAAGGCTTCATAGCAACGACCAATCCCCAAGGATTCGGAGGCCTCAAACTTGAACATCTTCTTCGTTGTCAGATACCAGAGTCTCCGCAGACATGCAAAGTAGATGGAAAGCTCAGTCACCCTTACAGATGTTACCTTCAAAACAAAATCGAAAGATGTGAAATTCCTGCTTTTCCTGTCAGTCTTCACCACCTCCAGTCCTACCCTGAGTTACCCCTCAGTCTCCAGACCCGTACAGACACGCCCCCTACCATCCGCCTACCGATTAGCCTGTGTCCATCACACGTAGAACAACTGGATGTCCGGATTCTGAAGACGAGCACGCTTCCATCATCAAGCGATGCTTATGGTAAGATTGTCGTATTACACATACAGGGATCAAGAACCTGTAACATACTAATATTCTGTCAAAGAAATTATGTTCTCAATTTACTGTAATTATTTATGTATTAACTGATGAATTGGTTGATTCATTCATGTATGCTTTACACCAAGAGACAGTATACTATGTACTACTACGAATAAATAATATTATCCTAGTATACACACCACTGCTTTTAAGGGGTGGGGTAGCTTAGCGTTCGGCCGTCATGCTGGAGACCCTACATGGATACGGTGGATACAGTACGTGAAGCCCAATTCTTGTGTTCCCCACCGTGATATTGCTGGGATATTGTTAAAAGCGGCTTGTTAATATGTTATTGCGTTTCTAAAGACGAACCGTACCTTTTATCAGCAGATGACCTCATTGATGTCGAAAGCGCCAGTCCAAACGGAAGTACAGCTTCCAGTGGTTTCTACAGCAACTCCAGCCCGACCCACAGCGCCGACAGTTCCTCCTCTCAGGGCGAACCTCTACAGGTACTCAGGATGATCGTGGTTCCCCAAAAGGTCAGGAGGAAGATCATGTCTCTGTGGAAACATCCTCTATTGCCGAGGAAGAAGAAATTGTGTCAGAGAGGTCCTCACCAAAGACACTGGAGGAAGACTGTGTCTCCGCGAATCCGAGGAAGAACTACAACGAGAAGCAAGCGAGGAGGTTGAAGCAGGTGTTTCTGGAGAACAAATACCCTGATGTAGAGTTGTATGAAGATTTGTCCCAGGAGCTGAATATTCCAGTAAAGAGATTAAAGGTAAACATTCTTTTGTAATCTGATTGTACCTTGTTACGTACATTACGTACACAATGCCAGCATAATGATGTAATGATGATTGTTCATTTCTTCTCATTCAGTCTTCTGTTGGACTAAGTGATGTGACTGAAAACATTCCTCTTAATTGAGCCTTTGTTTGACAGAAGTCATTTCTCCTTATGCGTTTCTTATGTGATGTCGAACAGCCAGAATCAGTGTACTAGTGGTGCTAATGCTGTTCTTTGAGTTACCAAATTATTCTTTTTTTTCCTCACAGGTGTGGTTTCAGAACAGGCGATCACGCAACAAGAGAGCATCCGACACCAAGATGATGAACTACCCTCTCCAGCAGCAAAACATGGCGGCCATGTTGTCGTCTGCTCCAGGATACGGCTACACGCCTCCCATGATGCACCAGCCCATGTATCAGTACCCAGCACCCAACGTACCGATGATGTACCCTCCCAGTCTGTACCCAGGGTATCCCTTCCCGTTCCACTATCAGCAGTGAAGGAGCTGATCCCCAGATAGTGCTTGTTAGACATTGAAGCGGACCTTAGGTACTGTTTTTGTTGAAAATAACGTGAAATAAAGACAAATGAATACTGATGTTTGTCATCATGGTTTGCCGACTCTCCCCTCTGCTACATGCGTCGCCAAGACTGTTACTGTGGGACACCCGGTGTTGGAGGTTTTTACTTCACGTCTGGTTGGTTGGTTGTTTTACGCCGCACTCGGCAATATGCCAGTGGGGTAACAGCGGTACACTTCAGGAAAACCCTTTCATAATCAGGACAAACCATTTTGACTATATCATTAGGACCGCCTCCATGGCGTAGTGGTTAGAGCGTCCGCCAGGAGAGCGGAAGGTCGCGGGATCGATCCCTAGCCGCGTCATACCAAAAGACATGGTCCCTGTATGGCGCTCCGCATTAATGGGTACAACGAGGCCTGGTCGGCTGGGAGTCAGTATAATGTAGTCTGAGCTGGGTATTCATGTGGCAATGAGCTAGCAGTATAAAACCAGCTTCAGATCTGGGCTAGTACAAACAGCCACACATACACACGCATGCACGTCGTCATTAGAGCGAAATATTCTTGAATACGACGTTAAACCCCATTTCACCTCACCTCATCTATATCATTAGCACGTGTATATGCTCAACTAAACTGACGTACAAAAGAAAGTACACATGGTTTTCTAGTGTGAAAGTGAAACATTTTGAAAAATTGTTTTGATTGTGGCTTCCAAGTTGCAAACACTACACTATTGCGCTGTTGCCAGTGCCCCACGCCCCTGGCTCTAAAATCGACGGTTTAGTTGCTGGGTTCATGGCACGCCCGAAATGGTCGATATCCCGACAGTTTGAAACAATGAGCCTGATTAACACATTTCAGGATATACACTACTCTGTCAGTCCGCAGCATAATTTTCTTTCAAATTTTTAAATTTTCAGCAACAATTATTTTCAAAAACGAACATAAATCGTTACCCCTACGGTATTTCCTAGTTAGGTATTTAATAAGAGTTAGTGAGCGGCAGGTGTTACTGGTAGGGTGGAAGTTTCCCTCGCGAACACTGATGTTGCCACAGTTTTCTGTGATTAGTTCATCGAATATTATTATTATTGAATATTTATATAGCGCACATATCCACGCACTAGTGCATGCTCAAGGCGCTGGTATTTTTTCCGTCGATCACTGGATGTCAATCCCAGAGGCACATCTTATTATCAATCTCAACTCCCTGGGGATCATACAACTCTTGCTGCCACAGGGCGCACTGAGTTATTGCGGCTTTCGCATCCTTACGAGGTACCCATTCACAGCTGGGTGGACTGGGGCACACAGTCACAGTACTTTGTCCAAGTTCATTGCACGTTGCTGTACCCTCAAGCAGGTGTTTGCGGGTATTCGTGTGGCCACCACCTGGTCATATACCAACGGATTCGTGGGGTTGTGCACAGGGTTGTGTACAGTGCACTAGAGGTTGTGACAACACTGAAAGAGTCTGCACACAAAGTTGACTCCAAGGTTTTTACACCCGGTCACAGGTGGGCTCGATCCCGTCACCTCAAGTTCGCTGGATCACTAGTCTGGCGCCTTAGCCAGCTCGCCCACCACATCAGTATTTGTATTTTACATCTAACGTAGTCTCTGAATATTATAATACGTAGTAACACAAACCCATTTTACTTAATTTAGGACTCTTATAGACAGGGTGAGGTGAGGTTGAAATTGGGTTTAACGTCGTGCTGGAATATTATAATTTGTGATAGTAACTAGCAAGACCCATTTTATAATAGCTGAAATACCATGCCGGAGTGAAGCATGAATACCCCAGTCTTGAGCCGACCAGTCCTTGTTGTACCATTAATGCCGAGCGCCAGGCAGGGACCAACAAGTACCATATTTTAACGTCTTTTGTATACTGAGGCGGTCATCATTGCAGGGAGGACTATGCAGTGGGGAAAATGATATGGTTCAGGGACAGAGACAGACTATGTAACTTTGTGTTTCGGCAGATATTTTAGGCTAATAATGCTTTGTCGTCACGGTTTACCTCTTGCATTTTGCACGCGATCAATACCTCAACACATTTTTTCACATAGCGTTTTTGTTGTTTAACGGAATATTGAAAGAATATTGAAAGTATATAACGACTCCCTGCAAATAATGCAGTCTCGACAAGACCGTCCACTTATAGATATCATATTGAAATTAGGATGACATTATCAACCAAACCAGCGAGCCTAATCACCCTAACCCGTTAATCGCTTCTTCCCAAATCAAAGTTTGCTGAATCAGTAATCTAATGAGTATGTTATAGTGGCGATTGTTAATCTATCTTTTTAACAGTTGACAATAGTGAGACTGGAATGACGTCATCTGACAATGGAGTAACGTGATGAAGTGACTCCTGATATATAGCTGTAATTCGACACCCTATCTTACTACCTCGTGAAATGTCAGTCTGCACCGCATATCTTTAGTGAGATAAGAGGCACAGGATCAAAATGGCGTCTCTTCTCAGCTTGTGTTTACTTCTACAGGCTACCGTGACAGTGTTTGGATACCCTAGTACAGGTAAGACTTGGCTACCCCGGTACAAGCACGACTACCTCGTAGAGAAATAACCTTATGATCTTTAAACCACGTACAACGTCCAACATAATCCATCTTGACAGTATTAGCCGTGCAGAGAGTGGGGAATGTATTATTTACTTTTGGGGTATCAGGATCGACAATTTGGACATGAGTCTTAAGGTAGAGTCTTTATTTACGGGCACTGGTAGGCGTCGACGAAGAACGTGACCGAGGGCCCAGGACAGGGGACGGAGAGAGCGTCCCGTGTCGATGACAGAGTGTCCCTGTCCCGCCCTCCGTCCGTCCACCCCTCAGCCTCAGTATTTATAAAATCAGATGGACATGAATAAATTGTCTTTGACCTATAATTTACTAACCTATAATGAAGTTGGGAGTCTCTACAGGGGCGTCAATCAACAGTCCTTAATGACAGATGGCAACGTCATAAGGACCGGCCAAGCCTTTATTCTCAAAATATACATGTATTTTGTGGCGTCAGTCCGCCATCTCCGAGATGTTGACTCCATTTAATGACTCAACTTGTAACTATATATGTCTTTATGTATATGATTATGTAACTTGAGTATTCGTGTACAGATAAGCTATGTGACAGCATTCACTGACATGTCGACATGTCAGATAAGGAAGTGAATTACAACTCATCTCATTCGCTATGCATGGCCAAAAACTTTATATATTAAACAATAGACTAGACAATTGAAATCGTTATGATATTTCAAAAACTTGAAATTTCGAGTATTTTCTCGTTGCTCCGAGTATATTCTCGATTATGCATAGGGCTGATTGGGGCCATCGCCATACTGCCAAAGTCCAGGTGGTATGGCGACAAAGAGATAGCAGGACACGGCCTGGCGACACCATGTAGCAACATTGCGATGCAACCAAACACGGAGTAACAGTATCAACATAGTGATAACACGACATGAAAAGGCGATAAAGCAACGGGAAAACACGACATGAAAAGGAGATAGAGTGATATCGCGATTGAACGAGACTATTACACTCTTCAAAAATAGAAACGCATAGGGAAAAATCAGGATTTATATTGTGTTTATTCAAACGAGCATATACCATAGCAGAATAAAGCTAGTGAGCCAAATTGAACCTAATTGCGTACACAGATTGACAACTGTATTGTAACGAGTGTCATCACGTTGTCAGACCTGTCACTGTACAAGGTGTGGCCCCAGGAGGCGTTATAGTCAGTACCTAGTGTGAGCACCACGTGCTGCTATCACTGCTCGACACTTCCTCGGAACAGACCAAATGAGACGTTGGATTCTTGCCTCCGTTGGATTCCTGCAAATTCTCCAAGCGTCTGCTGGACCCGTTGACGTTGACGTACACGGCGATCCAGCTGATCCCAAAGATGTTCTATGGGGATCAAATCTAGGGACCTGGACGGCCATGGCAAGACATTAATGTTCTCATTGGCTAGGTAGGCCATTGTCACACGTGCCGAATGGGGTCGAGCGTTATCTTGCTGTAAGATCTCTGGCTGGCGGTTGATACTAGGACGGACGGACGTGTGGACGAAGTCTGGTTGATGTACCGGTTTGCATTCCGATTTCCCTGAATCAGCACTAAGTCGGTCCTACCAGTGTATGATATGCCACCCCACATCATAACACTACACCTATCGAAGCGATCGACCTGTCGTACGCAGTTAGGCGCGTAACGTTCATTCCTACGTCGGTACACACGTAGTCTTCCATCATGGCGTTGCAGGAGAAAACGTGATTTATCACTGAACCAGATTCTCCTCCATTTAGTGAGATTCCAGGGTTGTACGGTGGTGCACCAACGAGGACGTCGACGTCGATGTAGACGGCGCAACACAGGCCCAACCATAGGGCGTCTCGCTCGAATTCCCGCCTCTCTCAGACGGTTGCGGATCGTTTGGTCGGATACTCGTCGTACACCTGGCACATGTCCTGCTGTATCCGTGGCTGTGGCTTGCCGATGACATAGGTGGAACACCCGGATGTACCTATCCTGAGCAGGGGTGGTCAGTCGTGGTCGTCCACTTCTTGGGCGATCTCGTGTCAAATTGAATGCTGTATAACGGGCCCACAGACGAGATATTGTGCTTTGGTGGACGTTATAATGAAGCTTTCTCCAGCTTCCAGACGTCCAATAGCAATGTTCCGGTCAGCGGCATTCAGTCATGGCATTTTGCGTCTTTCATTCCTCATCAATATGTGTGATACAATGAAGTAAATGTATCGGGTTTTTATAGTCATTGTCTCTACTGATGAATTCCACTCATTTCACGTGCATTGTGATCATGCATTTTCTTCACAATTGCTGACAACGATAACATTATGGTTTTTTTTATTGTGTTTGCACGACTTAACCATTAAAAATCACATACTTCACATCATTCAAACATAAACATAGTCT